AAAAAAGTAAATCAGAGACATATTTATAGTAATTATGCAGGCAAATTTGCTTGCAAATCTCTACCAATTAAGGGATATGTATATATAATTGATAATTCGCAGATTTTCTTTTTTCATTTTAATAAATCACATTTTTTTAAAAAATTTCTTAATTTCATAGAATTTCTTCATAAACAATATTGCATGTAAATGTTCCTTGCATGCCCTGAATATCACCATTTCTTTGATGTTATTTTCAGATCGGGCTCATGAAAATGCAATATAAAGCTGGCCATGTGTGAATACATGTTCAGAAAGATAAAGACCTATATAAGGTAGTGTCTGATCCTAAGATTTATTAATCGTTAATGCGAAGACAAGTTTAACTGGAAATTGTTTTCTCTTCAAAGAGAAAGAAAGTCTTGTATTCTCAGAAGGAAATAATGGTATTTTTGGAAGAAAAATGCTACTTTCCTGATAGCTGCTTGTAGCTATTATAGCTTTTATCACATTCAGGTAAAAAGTTTGACAGATTAACCTAGTACCGTTGCATAAACCATTCGCTAGATCCAAGTTACAAAGACATAAAATTGGTGCACCTATCTTTAGATGCAATTCATGAGGGGGAGACCATTTGGCATAATTGAATTAAGATATTCTTGTTGATATAGTCCACGTATATCATCAGAAACAGAATCATAACTTTTGTAAGTTATAACATTGCCAGGCATCTGGTCTAGAATTATATCATTAATATGATCAATACATTCATTCTTGGTAGCAAGTATGGCATGACCAGTAAAATAGATAATATCTAAGTAATGTTCAGCTAGATTCAAATAAATATATTCAATAAGAAATTGTAAAGACTCTTCATTTTTCCAAGATATGATCATATGATTAGGAATACAAATCATATCATCATTAAAAGTTGGTTCCGTTCCATTTCCAATTCTTAATAAAAGATTTCTAAAATTATAATCATGATTATCTTGTATTCTCATATTTACATGCAGTCAATAAATTTCCATTATAGACCATAAAGGAGAACACTTCAAAGAAGCATTTACTATTTGCTCATGACTACCTCTTGGAACTACAGGTAGTATTTGGTGGAAGTCTCTACCAAAGACTATTAACTTTTCACCAAATAAAAGCTCACATTCCATTAAATCTTTAAGTGTTCGATCCAAAGCTTCTACTACATAACGATGTATCATAGGGATTTCATCCTATATAATTAATCTAGCTAAACGTAATAAGAAAGCTAACTGGCTTTTTTTGCTAATAAGACATGTTGAATTTGCATCAGGGTTTAAAGGAATATTGAACTATGAATGTGCAGTATGCCCCAGGCATAAGTAATGCGGCAATTCCAGATGATGCCGTGGCAAGAGCAATAAAAGACAATAAGCAAACTTTACAAAGCAAACAAAGATACAAAAAAGTCTTTCCGGATCCAGCTAGACTATTAACAAAAAAAACTCCAGGTTGGTTTTCTTCAACATGTTCCATAACTCTATTAAATATCATTTTCTGACTTTCATCCAAATCACTATTATCTATTATGAAGCTTAGTTGTTCTAATATTAATCTTGGTAACTCTTCCTCATACTGTTCATCAGATAGATTAAGCAATGGGAGATCAAATTCATCCAATTTCCTGTGATGCTGTTCTAGAATACTTTTAATATGAAGAAGAACTGCATTGATTTGATATTGACTACTGGGAATACCATTTCGTACAAAATCCTCAGACATGTTAACAAAATTGTCATTCCACAAGGTCCGAACATCTCCTGGCTCTCCAAATACCAATATAATAGCAAACAATTAGCGTAAATAATAGAGCATTTGAAATTAAGCAGCTTCTTGCATAGTATTATTGTATAGATTTTTTGCTTCTATAATTTTACGTCTCAATGCACTTTCTTGAAAAGTTGCACATAAATAGTCTCCAACTCTTTTTAAATCAGCAAAAGAAGTAGCACCTCTAACATAATTGAGAAGCAAGTGCAAATAATATTTCTCTCCTTCATTCGGATTTACAACATACATCCTTCCAATTATATTTCTCTGACTATGTTTTGTCTATTTTTTATTTGCCTTATTCCAAACATAGTAGTGTGAAAACTCACGATAAAGGTAATTCTTAGCATCAAGATCAATTTCATTCATTTTAAAGTATTCTGTTAACATCGTTTTCTTATTTTTATCATCATTAATTACATTTTCAAGACTAACACCTTGTAAAAAAATTACAGTATGTTGATAAGAAAGATGCACTAGTAAGCAAACTACTGATGGATTAATTCGTGACATATTGAATTCAAAAATTCTCCAGCAGGCTTCTGAAGCAGAAACCCACCGGGCATCTAAATACTGACTAATTTCATCATTAGTTATTTGAAGAGCAAGCTCAGCCATGTCCCTTATACACGTATTTGTATAAATATTTGACTGACTTTATACTTGAGCAAATTTCAACGTTAACATGACAATTGTATTTAAATGACAAATAAGGGTTATAAGGAACAACCTAACGGTTATCTAGCCACACACCTTTGCGCAATACTTTACGCCCATTATTACAATACCGATACACAGGATAAGAATTATTGCCTTCTCTTGTCATTTGAACAAACTGTTTAGGATAATGCTTAGTACATAATCCATTTTTCATACAGGGTGCTTTTAAATTAGACTTCCCACATGGACCATGTAGCATGTTCGTAACTACTGTTTGGTATAATCTCAGTTCTGTACTTGGATCCGGTATTTCTGCAGAAATAACTGCGTTATAATAATCAGCTCTATAAAATTTATCATTGGAATGAAGAATTACTAATAGATGTGCATGTGGAAGGCCACATTTATGAAACTCCACCACATGCATATGCACCACTACATGACCAAATAGACCTCGATCAAAAATATCTCCTGTAATTTCTTTTAATTTAGCACAAAAAATTCATGCTACAGAATTAAAATATACAATTAATTTTAAAATGCAAGTTATCCGAAACAGTACTATCTTACTAATAAAGTTATAATAATAATAATATATACTTGTAAGATCAGGCCTATCTTGTGAAGTTTGTCCAGTCAAAAGCTCAGAAATAATTTCGGGCCACTTGGGATTGCAAGTAACCGTAATGAATAAATCAGGCCTGCCAAACGTTTGAACTAATACCATCGAATCTTGATATCGTTGATATAGATCACGTGGACTTCCCATAAAAGATGAAGGCAAAATTGTCCGAGTACCAACTTTTGATGCATCTGTTACTCCTGAGTAGTAAGAATCATGCAAGCCTTGGTAAAGCTCTCTATGAAGTTTATCTTAATTCAATTGTAAATAATTAAGTCGCTTAAACTCAATTTTAACATAGTTATCAACAATGTACTGTTGAAAAAGCCTCCCTCCAAAATAAAGCAATGAAAAAGAATCTTGACGTATATGCAACTTGTATGCATAGTACTGTCTTGTAGTTACTTTTTTTTGTGATATATTTTGTAGAATTCCAGGATGTCACCCATGTTCACCACATGGAAAAAAAAGAGGATATTGCATTGGGTCATAAGAACCATTTAACTCAGAGACATGCTGTAAACTATTAGATTTCGATTTTATAATAATATTCTGTTTCATATGATTTAAGGGTTCATGGCCTTCTACCCAAATACCAGCAACTTGTAAAGCTGTTGGAGTGTTATATATTTATTGATCCATGTCATGATCTGCCTTAATAATAAGTTGAAGGTTATTTATAGCATTATTGGAGGCAATTGAGCGAAAATTAGCAACAAATGGATTAAATTCATCTAATATCAATTTGATAATATCCAGAGTATCATGACGAAGCTTAGGCATTATAGTAAGCCTGTTTTCCATTTCATTTTCAGTATCATAAATGTATAACTGAAGAAATTTTGGTGTTTCATTATCCGGAAGAAGAGACCCTATAGAGTAATATATTCCACCATGAAACTGAAATGTATATACTCTGTCCTTGCCTGTCAAGAATTGGTGAAAATTATGAATTATTATTATTATATATTTCTATATTATTATAGATTATTATTATATTATTTATTATTATATAATTTTACTATTAGCAAGAGTATTATCTATCTTGACTCCCATAGACATGAAAGTAAAAACACTATTATAAGCACGAATATTAACATGGAATTTGTTTCCCATTTCGTCAAGTTTCATAAATAAATTCCTTAAAGGTGCAGCATGTTCAGTTGAAGCCAATCTATCATAAGTATAATAGCAAAGATGAATTATCATTTATTATTATTGTTATTATTAATAATTATTAACAATTTAATAATTTATTTTTTATCTTACTTAATTTTCCCGCTAACGTAACATATTCCTTCAGTTTCACCTGAAAAAAGCTTGGTGTCACAATAAGAACAAACACAAGGAGGTTTTAAAGCATGACGAATAGCTAAAGCTGTTTCTTGAAAATGTAGACCAAATTTATACAATCTTCGTAGTTTATTCAAAGAAGTTTGCATATTTGTTCGGGTGTTTTTAGTATTCCCAGTATTATTGATATCTACAACAGGTTGTGAAAGTATATAATGAAAAAGCGGCATTTGAATAAACATGAACAATGAAGATAACAGTATTCACTTCTATTTATACAAATCTAATTAATAATTAATAATTGATAAAATATGTCAATTAGTTGATACCAACACAATAATAATCGAATAAATAAATAAATAAATAAATATAATATACATACTCCTACACCGATTTTGGCCAACTTTAACAATTTATAATAGCTTTGAATTTTCTTATAATAACCTGATAAGTAAATATACGATGGTATGTATTCACATTTATAGATTTTACTGTTTTTTAGCTAGAATAATGATAACAAAAAGTATTTTTTTCCCACACTTCTTATATATTCTATATTTGACTCTTAATTAATTACCTCATAGATCATTCACACGTTATTCTAATTATATATATATTATAACTGATCTCGGGTAATTAATAACTTACGAATAGCGCGATATAAAACTTCAAACTAATACGAAATGACCCGATATGTATACGTGTTATTATCGTGGAAGAAAGTAATCAATGTTTTATATGATAGCATGTATTCACTTTAATGTTTTTTTAGCTAGAACGAAAACAAAAAGTATTTTTTCTTGCATTTCTTATATTGATTCCATATTTGACTCTTAATTACATCATAGATCATTTATACAATAGAATAGTTAATTCATGTATCATTTTGATATCATAATTACATCATTTGATTGATCTTGGGTAATTAATTTACTTTGATTATACACTTTTTATGTGTTATTTTGATATTGTAATTACATCATTCACTTAATTGACTTACGATTTGATCAAATAGTGTTCGAACCACGTGATTTAAAACCTCAGACTAATATAAAATCTGAAGTGATAAGTATTGTTTATTTATTTTTAAACTTTAAAGTTTTCTAACTCTTCTCCTTTTCAACGCAAGTACTCTATTACAACCATGAATCAATTTTTGCTGAACCTATTTCATCATACAATTATTAGATACGTAATCACATATCAGATTAACTTTTTCCCAATTTAGTAAATATGGGTTGTTTGAAGCCAGGTAG